AAATGGATTCTCACGTCTCCTTTAATGTGTCATAAATCATGCTGCGGTAATTTTAAGTTCAAAGGGATATATTTGATATAAAACATCTAACTCGTTTTCGGTACTTTTATATTCATCCTCACTGACACGTGATAACAATTTGAAACAAAACTATAAGAATAATATCAAGCTTGTTACATGCAGTCAACTTCACTTTGCCTATTTACTACCAAATACTTTGGGTCACTTCCCTTCCCTGGTTACCCCGGCTTGGACTTTCATTGTGAAACCTTTTATATCCTTACATCAGTATGCGTATGCTCCACACTTTTTTCTATAGATTTCCTATAGTACTGACAAAGAGAATTCGTTTAATATTCAAAAGCTTCTCCAGTTGATGATCATTTCCTTTATTCTCATGACCTCACGACTATAAGGAGAAATTAGATGCTTATCACTTCAAGGATTAAAAGGTTAAACATTGTTTTCTTCACTGTGGAGACCCGAGAGTGAAAATGAATGCAAAAAATATGTGGTGAAATACACAAGTAAATAGTAACTTCTTAGAGTTTCCTAGGAAACGGTTAATAGAGAATAAGAAGGGCATCCAACTTAGAAAAGACAAATAAACCACAGTTTAGCGAATACGGGGAAAAAGCCCAGCAACTGACCCTTTAAAACTAAGGAAAAAAACATAATTTCTCATTATAATAGCAGTCCATTTTGAGACACATAAATGATGATCAAAGACAACCTTGTCAGTCGGAGAGTGTTGCCTTGATGTCAAGCCTAATTCTCCAAACTACCTTATTGGGGGTAGAAATGAAGAATTAGTCAATAATCAGAGTTAGGTGGTTAATTTCAATTTGTTATTCTGTAATGTCTACAGTAGCTAACAGGCCACTGATATCAGTGTAGGTTCAAATTTGACAATTTGTCGTGGTTCAGATGCGCGCTGTCGATCCAGAAGACTGCTCAGAGCACGGGCAGAAACAACACAGGAACACTCGAAAACAAGGGACAGATCACAGGTTCGTCCTCTATTGGTATCATTCGCTTGCAGAAGATGCGTCATCTTTCATTCAATTAACTGAAGTTAACACTTTACAATTTTTTATATTCATCACTGAGCAATTCATCTGATCGAAAGTCAAACCCTGTCAGTGTGTGGGATGCTCCTCGCGTTCTTGCAGTTTAACATCTCAAAAACTTGTTTTACCTATTTTCAGTTTTTTTTGTTATATCTAAATCAGCGTTTCAATTTCTTTCTGCCAGGTTTACTATCTTCAATTCCCAAAATGTTCTTTATTTCATTTACCCAGCTTCATAACCAAGGAAATCTAAATTAAATGACGATGGTAAATTTGAGTTGTTGCATTTTGCGGAATGCAGAGTCGAAAGATAAAAATGTCACAGTTTTGCTATGACTTGATGTTGTTACAAAAGAAACTGAAGGACTAAAAATGAAGACTACAAGAAAACAGAGACACGACAAACGATAAACTTGTTTTGCTGTTTGTGTCCCACAAGAGCAGCCAAGTTTTTTACCCATGCAAGCATAAAATGCAAATGTTCCTTAACTCATGATTGGCTGCAATTTCTAATCAATATTCATGAACCCGTGTTGAATTTGCACCACATCCAGCAGTCCGTGGCTGTGTGAAGACGCAGATTCGTCACCTCTCGTTAAAGTTCTTCTTGAAGAAGGTGAGTGTACTTTCTACTTATCCTTAACCTTCATATTTCGGCTCTACGGATTGAAAACGAGATTTTAAGTGCTGTGTCACAAGTCTTGTCGCCATTAACCTAAAAGAGACATTCCGCCCCATTGCCGAGTTCTCCATTCGACGTTGAAGAACAGAGAAAGTAAACAGTGACATGAGTCACTTCCAAACTAATGTGGTGAAAATTTCTATGAGTATCTGAAGTTTATTTAGTTTTTTTTTTAATTTATATCCACGACAGCTTGCAGAAATAAAGAAGTTGAGTTAAGACATGGGTTCATCTGTCGCTTCTCGTCAGAATTCCTTCTTGAAGAAGGTGAGTATATTTTCCACTCATCATAAGACTACGTAGTTGATCTCTGTAAATGAATCCGAAATTTTTATCGCCCGCGTATGAGTTGATCTATCTTCGGTCGCCTTTATTTGAACCGTCCACCTTCTCGTTATCATGCAAGTTTTTTTCGTCTTTTCGAGAACAGTGGGGAAAAAAGTAAAGTCTCCTCCAAACTAACGTCAGCCGGGAATTTTTGTAGGGAATTTTGGAAAAATTTGTGTTGCATTTTAATTCATCGTTGGAATTTAAGTTCGAACATTCAGCACGTGCAACCTAGTTAGCTGACACTGTAGTGAAAGAGTTCCGTGCTTATTTAAGACATTTCAAACCATCCTCTGCAACACATGATATTCCAAAGGCTTTTGGAAATTAATCGTCAACTACTTCCATTACCCGCACTAATGGTAGAACCTCGCTTGATAACCCAAATATTTCACCAACAATTGACCACGCATTTGTTTGCAACTTGTGACTCCCTTGATTTTCATTACCTGTCTCCTAGGAGATGCATTTGGACAGTAAGGAGACTTTGTCTCCTGCATAGTAGTTTCTGGAAGTGAAAGAGTTGAATCTAAAAATAGCAATTCTTAGCTTTCTTACTGAGAGAAATCTTCAACAGTTTCTTATCTCCTTTTATCTTTTTTGTATTTCAGGAATATTAGCCCAAGAAAGAAGTTGGTTTACTCCTGAAAAGCGCAGTACACGTAGGAGGAACTCGCAAGCAAGGATTCAAGAACATTCCAAGGACTCGTAGAATTGGAGACGACAAAGATAAGAATTCAAATTCAGTTTTTTACTTTAAAATGGGGTCTTTGTATTTGAACAACTGAACAATTTCGATCTGTAATACTGGTAAATTTTATTCAAAGTCTTGGCTAAACGAAAAAAACTAAAAAATTCCTGGCTCGAATTTCGTTAAGTCGTTCAAATACAATTGCCCCCTTCTTAAAGATTCAGAAGCTATAAGAGCGGTTTTCCATCAAAGCCTTTTAAGATAAGATTAGAAAAACTTGCTCTTCGGCCAGCAAGTTCACTCGACAATCGCATATTTAACTAAAAATTATTTCGACTCGATGGATTTGATACGAACAAAGTTATCATGAAATCCATTTTCGAAAGCCCAGAAAGTACCGCTCTAGGTTTAGCTTTGAATCTTACATCGAAAACTATTTGTGGTGGTGTATCAACATCTAAAATTTTAAAGGTGGCCCAATTCTCGACATAAGTTTCCAACCAAGACATGATTTTGGTCGACTTTAAAGAAATGACTATTTGCCAAGGTTCTTCGGTTCGTAAACGGAAATTTATGTTAGAATACAAATCCACTCGCAAAAGATAGGTCAAAATTTGGGTGAAAAATTACTTCACTGTACTCACTTACCATATCAGCTTGACAAACTTATACTACTGATACTAACTGACTTGTGTTCTTAACACTGTGAAGGCTATGGCCTACAAACGAGCCGACAAAACGATTGATAGTGACTACAGCAATCATGGAAAAAAATTACACGATTAAAACGCGACAAAGAACAGAAACAATGACAACTGAGCTAGGGACATTTCTTCCTTGCCCATGGAAATCATGGGAGCCAGAGTACAGTCATACCCTTGTACTGAAACACTAAGTGACGTAGAAACATTCACTGATCAAGGCTATACACTGTGTTATCTTTAATTCAGGTAGTTTTGTCTCGCCAAAGAGACTTGTCTGAACTGACCTACGATGACATTAGAAGTAACATTGAATCCAATGTACGATACTTGACTAAAGACGAACATATACGGTTGAGAAGTAATGACACGACTTTAGGCAACTACGACACTGTTCTACTGACTGTCGACGAAGGACGAGATACTGCTGTTATGATCAAGACCGTCAATTTGGAGAAAGTAATAACACACTAGGTGACAAAAAAAAAATCCAGAGTACTTGCATCTAACACGACTTCAAAACTTCGATATGAACCTTATAGAAGGCAACGTAAGGTCAAGTGCTTTGGACACAAATGACACTACATGAAAAAACACTTTAACTGGACTGAACAACACAAAACCCAACTTTCCAACTCGTATAATCAGTTTGTTTTCTCTGTGGATCTCCCACACTATAACTTCGCCACCTAACGCCAGACTATACTGC